ACTGACGTAGCCTTTCCCTCGCATTGCCATTTGCACGACCGTACATAAAATGCATGTCAGCTAATTCAATATTAGTGTAAACAGGCATAACGAAAATTTATAAAATTATTCACCCACAACAAAATAATAACTGCAAATAGTATCTATGAAAAAACATCGGTAGACTCCGATAAGAAAAGCAAGTTTTTGAGAATGAAAAAAGATAATCAAAAAATGATACAAAACACAAACCATTCATTTGCGGACATATGTTTATTAAGACTTTTCTGCATATTTTGGCCCATACTACCCCCCGTTTTATTTTGTGACACTTTTTTTAACAACCTGTATACAGAGTGCCGTACAAGAGGAGCTTTCCAGTTTTTAAATATTATGTAACTTTCATAAAACAAGATTTTTTATTTATCTTTCTCTGCGAAAATAGTCTTTATATTACATTGTTATGACATTCGAAATTGTCGTTTTTATTGAAAAAAGTATAATTTATTTTTTATATAATAATTAGATTGATAAATAATATAGTGTACCTACCTCGGCTAGCTATTTAATTTTTATTTTAATACATTTTTTATGTACAGTGTGTATCTGTGTAAGTTGGCTACCTATGAAAAACTTTTTTTTTAATAGTTTTATCAAAAAAAATTATTCAGCATAAAAAGTTATGCATGGTCTGAAACCTAAAATACAACCATCAGATATCACATTTTTTAGCCGTATACTAGGACAGTTAGCGGTATATGGAAAACTTTTTTATTAATAATTTTATAAAAAAAATGTCCTCACAAAAAATTGTTCGGGATCTGAAACCTTAAATACAACCATCAGATATCAAATTGTATAAGTCGTAGTATACAAAGTTTGTCAAAAATGAATGTACTTTACTTTTGGCCAAAAATAAATTTTTTGACAAATATCGTATACGACTCATAAAAATTGATATCTGTTTTAGACCATGCATAAATTTTAATAAAACTAATAATAAAAAAGTTTTCCATATGTAGTCAACTTAGGTAGAATATTAAGTTGGTTTATGTTGGTTATGTTGTAAATGGCCAAGAATTGAAAAATTTCTCATTTGTAAGAAGAGGAAGAAGATGGGATATGTTGTAGTCATTTAATTTTAAGTAATATAATTTTATTTCATCCTATATCCAGAGACAACCATATATTCTAAATAATTGGAAGTTTGCGTCTGTTGTTGGATACATTTCTGAAATATCAATATGTTATATTTCTGATAGGTTTCAAATTATTATTTATGAAATATATAAAATATTACATTTACAGGATAGTTTTACATTTTAGGAACGTTTCAGAAATGTTTCTGGGGCGTTTCGTAATATTTATACAGTGTGTCTACTTAAGTTGGAACCATATGGAAAACATTTTTATTATTGATTTTAGGAAAAAAAGTTATTCTTGATAAAAAGTCCTGCATGACCCAAAACTTAAAATACAGTCATCAGATATCAAATTTTTCAAGCCGTATACGAGGTTTGTCAAAAAATATGAATTTTGCTCAAGAGTAAAGTACGTTTATTTTTTTACAAAATCGAAAATTTTCATTAAGAAATTTGCTAAATTCTTCACAAACATCAACAAAAGGAAAGCGTATTATGTTTATAGTAGCTAACGTAATTTATAACGTTTTCAGATATTTACAATCAATGTGTAGAGTGTAGAGTTTATAAAAAATAAGAAAATCTATTTTTTCAGATAGATTGGTGTAATTGCATATTTGAATGTAATATTCAATTCTAATCAACTTTTCTTAATGAAAATGGTAAACTTTCTTCTTAGGCAGCAAAGTGGTTACACGAAATATCCGTGTTTCTTGTGCCTCTGGGATAGTAGGGACAAAACACACCACTAGGGTTAGAAAAGATTGGCCCCAAAGAGAAAACATGGACGTTGGGGAAAAGAATGTCATTAACGACGCTTTGGTTGAAAGAGAAAAAATCATACTTCCTCCGTTACATATAAAGTTGCGCTTAATGAAGCAATTTGTAAAGGCTCTTGATAAGAATGGGTCATGTTTTGTATATATAGGGGTAAAAATGCATCAGTTGAGCACAGAAAAACTCAAAGCAGGGATATTTGACGGCCCACAAATAAGACAATTAATTAAGGATCCTGCCTTCATAAATTCAATGAATCAAGTTGAACGAGAAGCTTGGACATCATTTGTTGCAGTTGTAGAAAATTTTCTAGGCAAACATAAAGCTCAAAACTATGTTGAAATGGTTAACAAGATGCTTAATAGTTTCAAATCCTTAGGGTGCAATATGAGTATTAAAATACACTATTTACACAACCACTTAGACCGTTTTCCAGAAAATTTAGGAGACATGAGTGAGTCAGATTTCACCAAAATATTAAAGTTATGGAGGACCGCTACCAAGGAAGATGGAGGACCGCTACCAAGGAAGATGGAACATGCACATGATGGCAGATTACTGCTGGAGTTTAAAAAGGGACTGTTCAAAAAAACATTCAAGAATGTCGCGGAAAAGAAGCTTTCGAAGTGTTGAGTGACTATTTGATTTCTTCAATGTTTTTTTTTTTGTTTGTAAGTACGACATAATATTGTATTTTGTATGACTAAAATAAAAATTTCGTATCTACTTTTGTTTACTACACTTACGAATTTGAGTTAAAATAATGTAACTTATATTTCTCTAAAATTATATATCTTAAAAATTTGAGCTCCTAGGTAAAAATGAATACGTTATTTGAATTCAGGACATCAAATTGATATAGAATCAGCTCAAAAAACCTCGACACCAAAACAGCTGTTCCCCTGTGTAATTTTTTTAAAATGGACCGTATTCAAGAAGTTTGACAAAAAGTGTAAAATTCTAATTTTTGAGATAATTGTTCAATTAAAAGTTGTTTGGGATATCATTCTCTATAAACTTAACTCCATACCTGGTATCTCTAAAATGTAAAAATTTCAGGAAAAGTGTAAAATTTAAATTTTTTAGTATTTTCTTTAGCAATCAATAATATATAAAAAAATGTTTCGAGCAAGATGGTTGATGAAAAAGTATGTATATAGTTTATCCTCTAAACATTTACAGGGGTAATACAGTAGGTTGTACAAAATAGCCAGAAAAAGCCTGTAATAACTAGATAGGAAAGTTACATGTGTTGGACAGATCAGATTTTTTCCAAATGTTTGAATAAAAATGAGTTATTAGATTGATCCAAATCCGGACTATACGGCGAATGGTCCAGCATGAAAATATCATAGATTTCGCATCAAATTTTTATTACCATCATTTCTACATTTTGTTTGTATCACGTGACGCTTATTTCGACCAATAGAGTCGACTGAATTTTATTATTAATAAGTAACAATACCAAAGTGTTGTATTATCGCTGTGGTACATGGATTACCATGATTGCGAATCAAACTTTTTATGAAACGAAGCAATATCTGTCAGTTATAGTCGTCATATAATTGTCTTCATACTTATTATATTTTATTTCTAAATTTAATTTCATGGTAATATCGATATTTTTTAAATTTCAGCTCCTGCCACTCATAATGACGTGAGACCGATATTCGTGACATTTCAAAAAATTGTCGATAATAATCGCTCAACTCATTATATTAATTACTCTTGAAGAATGTATAATGTATGTAGAATTATTGAAATCGGCTTGAAATAAATGCTGTGTACTTTATTTATGTACTTTTGTTTATGTACAAGGTGTCCAAATAATGAAGATTATTGTCGTTTTCTTTTTACAGGTACCTATATTTGACTAACTAAAAGTTATATTCTGATCTAAGCTAAGTTGTAAAAAGAACGCGAATTTTGGTTGACAAGTGACGTGTCCCATGTCATCCGTTTAAAAACAATCGACATTTTTATCAAATTTTATAATTTCTTCATCATTCAACACCACGATATTGCCCCATGTTATCATATTCTTTTAATCTCTCTAAAATAATGAATTCATAGGATATGTTTGTTCGTATGATGCACATAACTTACTTTCTGTTATGGTTTATGTTGGATGTCAAGATCCGTGTACCTTAGCATCGGTAAAGGGGGAAGAAATATTCTGATTCTGACTTACAATCACAAAAAGAACGTACAACTAAGCTTAGTCGATGTAAGTTAGCTCAGATTAGAGGTAAAAAGAAAACGACTAATGCCTGCGATATATAAGGAACCGTTCATCGTACAGAAAGCTCTTTATGAACTCTAGCCTACTTTTTATTAGGTAATTTTTTCCTATTACTAACCCCAATATGTTTACCAGGGTCATCGCTGCCCTCTACGACCCAAAATTGCAGTTAAGTTGCTTAACAGTTGCTAAACAAATCATTATTGCAAAATAAATGAATATTGAAATACGATAGAACTGAATAGATTTAAATTAAAAGGAAGATGTACCGTCTACAAAATAAGCGCACCGATCGGGCTTAATGATTGAACCTCCTTCCGAAGTGTTCCCTTCAAAATCTTTCGTGACATGAGCTTTCGATGGCGCGAGCATTTTTACTTTCCCTGGTAGACCTACCGAACACTCTCCATCGATATGTATTGCGTTACTCGATCTCTACACCAAAAGCCTTAAAAGAAAACTCGCAACTTTCCAGTGTTAAAATTATCACTAGGTATAACGAAGGATGAGTCACTTTCCGCACTCGTATTGTAATATACTATTACCGCACTAGTGTCGTAAATAAATTCAAGAGAATTAACTAACAGTTGACATTACTGCCGTCCTTTGCTTATAAGTGGTACCTATCTGCAAAAAAAACGGAGAAAATGAAGTTTAAAGGTAAAGACCACTTTTAAGCTTCTTAATAATTTAATGTGATTATTTTTATGGGCAGATATTTTTATTTTAAAGGCCATTTACCACTTTTAGCTATAAAAAAATATGTAGCATAAAATTAGAGATACCACTTTTAAGCGAAGCACGGCAGATCAAGTTTTGATAGTAAAAATTATTTTCATGTATTTTTGTTTCTTTTTTAGTTGGAGGAAGGGGAAGTAGACGTAAGACTCAATTCTTTCAAAGGATGTTTTATTCAACGATACAACAGATCTCGCCCATAACCTGGCTAAACACCAATATATTAATATAACAAACATCTAGAAATATTTGTGTTTTACAATTTATATCAATTCTCGTAGCTGTTAGTTTTTTTTTATTACAGTTTTAAATAAAGATTGAATTTTTTGGATGACTTTTATTTTTAAGTAAACCTCGAATTGAAGAATTTAAATAGATAGTGTATAATGGAAAAACGTACTTTATCGTCCAAAATATCGAGAGTTTTGAGTTGTGAAAATATCATCTGCTTTTTGATGAAGATATTTTGGACCATTCGGTACCTATGTAAAAATTAGTAATGGGTCTTTTTTGGACATTTCCAATGGACATGTCAGAAACTGCTGCTTGATATCCCCTGGGCATAAAAGGCCCATAGTTAAATGTTTTTCCATTTTAAAAAATATGGTAACACTAGTAGTAAGTCGCATTTGTATTTTCGTTTTTTAAACAAATCATTATTTGTAAAATACTTCTAAACTTTTAATTTTTTTAACCATTTTTTCACGTTTCTGTTTTTATAAGAGAATACGAAAATTAAAGATCTCAAACATGGATTCTGTATCTGAAACACGGATCAGAAAACCATTAAAACATAATATGTAGTCATTTGTTTCTTTTTTTTTTAACTATATTTTACCTTTGTAAAAAATTCAGCCCAATTATTTAATTTCGCGCTTGACACTTTTCCACTTTTGAAAAGTTTGTTTGGATATGTCCACTGCATATTTCCGAGCGACCCATCACTAAAAGTCCCTCTTTTGAATAACATAATTTATCTACAAAATGGCAACATTGTTTCAATTTACAAAAAACAGTTGAGGTAGGTAAAAGAGTATATATTATACAGGGTGGAAGGGCTTAGATTTAACAAATTTTAATGTGTGATAGCTGATATTAAATGTAACAAAAATATCTTATACAACAAGAACCTTCGAGAAAAAATATGTATAACATATTACCTATTGGGCTTAAAAATATAAACATTGTATTTTGTTTCTGCCAAAATAAATCGCCATTGAACTATCGCTATTAACGTGTTTAAAATCCATGGAGTTTACTACTCGTTTTTTCTCGTAAACTTTTGAAAATTGGATAGTCATCACACTAAAATTTCATCAACCCGTACAGCCTGTATAAAAATATATAAATACAATTAAGATATATTTATTCCAAGGTTTGATGCCCAACAAACCAGTAGATAGATAAAAAGCTCATAAAATAACAAAAATATATTATGTGGGACATTTAATTTGACTTATGTATTTATTTAAAATTACTAGTACTTTCCTTGATATTTAAATTAGTTAGGTATAAAAATAAGTTGATTTTACTAAATTAAAAATATGGCAATAGGAAATAATATAAACTTTTAAACTATAGGTATAATACAGGGTGGCTCACGCTCAACGGGACGGAACTTTATGGGAAAACGACCAAAGATATAAAAAATTCGTTTGGGAGGAATACGTAGGTTACAGACGGCTACAATTTAAAATTTGTTAGATGTATACAGGATGTCCCACATAAATGAAAAAAAATTAGTTCATTAAAAATTATTCAAACAAGAGTAAACAATTAATTTCTGGGAGACTTTTTTTCCTTAAAAATTCAAATAAATCGAAAACTAATAATAATAGTAATAGGGAACCTTTAGTTAACTGACATTATTTTTGATGTAGTTTTTAATTCTAAAATAAAAACAGGGTGTTCCAATAAAAATAATATAACTTTGTATATTTTCTCTTATGTGGGACATCCTGTATACATCTAACAAATTTTAAATTGTAGCCGTCTGTAACCTACGTATTCCTCCCAAACGAATTTGTTATATCTTTGGTAGTTTTCCCATAAAGCTCCGTCCCGTTGGGCGTGAGCCACCCTGTATAAATAGTTATAATCTAGATTAGCTCAAAGACAGAGAACCACGGTCATAGATTTAAAAATGAAATTTCGTATATTTAACTCAATCTGGCAACTGCGCTTGCGGATTATTGTGTCGGGGAATGCCACATGATGGGCCTGAAGGGAACATGTGGGAGTGTACTTCAGGAACGAAAACGAACGTTAAAAAAGAGCATTAATATAAGACTTTTCTAGAGTCGACATTGTTTTGTAACGTCATTTTGTACAAGTTATCTTTATAATAAAATTTACAAAAAACTAAATTCTATTCTGTACAATACAGTCCACTATTTTCTACCTCTTCAATTTGGTAGTTTTGCTTGAAAGCTTTTCCGGGAGTTTTGAAAATGGGTAATTTTATAGATTTTGATGTGCACTTTCCGAATTTCATTTTTGCAAATATATTGGAAAAATGGTGCCTAAAAAGTTTTTTTGACAATATGTCCTTTCCGATTCATTTAACGATAAAAACATTTATAAACAAAATGAAACTAGAGAAATTTTCCTACAATTTATGCATTAATCTTTTTTTTTTTTAAATCAATAGTTTTGGCGAACGAGCACCGCAAAGTGTAGTTCAACAGGCGTTTTGACAAAAAAAACTCATTTCCTCAGTATGCTTAATCTACTTGCAATTCACTATTCTAAAATTTAGCGCATTTCCCTTTGCTTCGCTGTTCTTGATGGACCAGGTGTTGCGAATTCGTTGTCTAGTACCTATTGAAACGTAAAGTATAATTTATAACCACCGTAACGTAACTTAACTTAACGCCGTAGAAACTTAACCTAAGATATAAAAATAAAGTCTATTTATAAATGTCCGTAACGTAAGAGTAGAGCATGCGTGTTGATTTCAGAGATTATCAAATTATTGACAACCTTATGAAATAAACAAGTGTAAACTATGTACTTAACCTCTAAATAAAACTTATAAATTATGATTTTGCTATATAGAAAGAATATATTAACTACTTTAAAAGCAATAATATAAAAATATAATAAAACAAAATAGTTTACCGAAGATGTTGATTGTTTTTGAGCAATAATGAGAATTTAATCTTTCCTAGCAAAAAAGTTTTGTCTTATTTCAGTTCTAGACTTGATGTTTATAGGTATATGCAGCTACACTCATATCTCATAGATAGTTTATCCCCAATAACATAAACACAAATCATTCATGATAATGTATGTCCATCAAAAAGGAGAATGATAGTTTACAAATGGTATTTTTCTATTTATTTATAAAAAAAAAATAAAAAGAATAATTGACAGTTATCACATGCTGAACGCAGAATTATCTCATTGGCTAACCGTAAGGTCTTAAGTTAAGTTATGTTGTTAAGTTAAAAGTTGGTGAACTTTCTACGGTACGTTAAGTTCTTAAGTTACGTTACGAACATTATAAATAAGTATACGTAAATTCAATATTTCAACTTCTTACGTTAAGTTCTTAAGTTACGTTACGGCGGTTATAAATTAAGCTTAACTGACCGAAATTTCTTCCACATCATCATCCGCGATGGTATTATCAGTTTCATCGCAATCTTCTTCGTTCTCGATATCATCATATGTTTGCTCGAAAATAGTCTCAGTTTCGTCCTCTTTTAATATAACTTTGTCAAAAAACTGCTTTTATATACCATTTTTCCAATATGGCGGCGCGAGTGGCAAAGATACGAGGTGGCAAAGTTGAAATTCGGAAAGAGCACATCGAAATCTATAATACATAATACATCTATTATACATACATTCCTGGATACATGTGATGGATAGAAAAATAATAAAGGCCTGGAAGAACTAAATGTATCAAACAGTTGGTAAACCCCCACTTTTCTTATGTAAAGTGGCGATCGGTCAAATTTCCTGAAACCTTGGTACGTTGTTGTACTCAACCTAATAACTAAAAGTGTCAATGGGCTCAACTTAACTCTATGACTAATTTTCGATATACGGGGTGTTAAAGTTTTATCGGCATTTTTATTTTTAAATTTACGAGCTAGATTGAATTGTTTATAAAGGATGTTTTATAGAGAGAACCAAAACATTAAGTTATTTTTTTTAAGGAATAATTCAAAACCCTGTACTTCTGAATTGATTTTTGGGAAAGGTAATACCACTAAAATATATGTACATCTAAGCTTCAAAAAAATCACCTTGTATACAAGGTGATTTATTTATTAAGAAAAGTACAAAACTACATTCTAAAATTTACCCGGTCAAATGTAATGATTTTCTCAGTATATAAAAATTTTAACACCCTTTTAAGAGGTATGAATTTTAAATCCAATACTATGACCAGTTTAAATGAAAAATTGCTGGTTTTAGTTATATTTTCTACAAATTGAAAAACTAGATTGACTTTATGGATCATATATAAGTTTAATATAAGTTTTGGTCAGATGTCCATGGACGGTTTAAAATATTTAAAGATACAGGATGATTCATGAATAAATCTTAATATATTTTTACGAAACGCTCAATAATTTTGTAGTTGCGCTACAGAGAAATAATTTAATTAGCTTAATGTCTACCCATTCTCAATATTTAGGTCAAAAGATTTTGCTGTGTGTACTTTTTATATAAGGTAAGCCACGCAGCCATCCACCAATAATAAGTATTTTTTCAAATTATTAAATCGAGACCTTGCATTTCTTTAATGACTTTTGTTGAGTAAGTTAATAACATTACATTAGGTATGTAACTATAAGATTTTAAAATATACAGGGCAATCTAACTATGATAATTTTTTATACACGAGACAATAACGTTGATAGTTATCCATTTTCTTAAGTAGATGTAATGTCGCGCTACCAGAAAAAACGGTACGTTGCCGTTGAGTCATACAGATGAAATTCTCGGACATTCGAAATCGTCTTGAAACTACTAGTACAGAGCTGGCTTAATATAAATTACGCGAATTGTCAACGGACGGGCAGATTCAAATGAAGTGTTGGACACTAAAGACAAATTGTAATAATTAAATTAGAATTGTGAGTTATAATAGTGTCTAAGTATTATATAAATTTTTGTACTTTTATTAAAACAGAATACCTTTCAATAAATTAATCACCTTGTATATTTTGAAGCTTAGAGGTACACATATTTTAGTGGTATTATCATTTCCAAAAATCAATTCTTAAGTACAGGGTTTTGAATTAATCCTTAAAAAAATAATTTTATTTTTTGGTTTTCTCAAAAAACGCCCTGTATAAGAAATGTGTACTATACAATATTTTGTCGCCAAAATACCATATTGAGTAGTAGTTTGAGAAAATGCTTCCCTAAAGTCATAGTAGAATTAATGCGATTTTGAAAAAAAGTACCCTCATACATTTGTGAATCACTCTGTAATTAAAGTATTTTTAATTGTACGTGTGTACTAATGTATTACCAAAACATGTAGTAAATGTGTGTATGCAACAGAAATTCAATCTAGCTCGTAAGTTTGAAAATAAAAATTCCGAAAAACTGGGTAATTTTCAACTTTAACTAGTCATAAAATTGACACTTTTAGTTGCTAAGGTTGAGTACAACATACCAAAGTTTTAGAAAGGTCGCCACTTTACAAAAGAAAAGTGCGGGGTCCTTTAGGATAGTTTCTCTGCTACGTTGAAGATGAATAGACAGAATTGAAGAAACAGAAGAGGTAAAATAGCACTTGAAATTTCACTTAAGTTCAAAGCATAAGAGAATTTTTTTGTTATTAACTTTACGAAAAAAAAATTATTCTTCATAAATAGTTCTGCATGGTCTGAAACCTAAAATGTAATCATCAGATATAAAATTTTTACAATAGACTACTAGGTATGTCAAATAATATGAATTTTGCTGAATAGTAAAGTACCTTTATTTTTTACAAACTTTATATATGACTCATAAAATTTGCATATTTTTTATGAAGAATACATTTTTTTTTTAAAATTATTAATAAAAAAGTTTATCATATGCCGCGAACTTAAGTGGACACACAATTCAATCATCTAATAGCAAATTGTATCAGTCACATACGAGGATTGTTAAAACTAAAGGTACTTTACTCTTCAGCAAAATTCATATTATTTGACATACCTCGTATACTGTGGTAAACATTTGATATCTGATGGTTGCATTTTAGGTTTCAGACCATACAAAACTTTTTATGATGAATAACTTTTTCTCGTAAAGTTAATAATAAAAAGTTTCTCATTTGCTGCGAAATTAAGTGGACATGACACATTGTATATTCTTTCTTAAAACTATGACCACAATTATCTTATTATACCTTTAAATACTTAAGTCATCATTTAACTTACTAGAATTCATTGTAGACATTATTAGACAAAGGGAATTGTACAACCCCCTAAATCTTAATTTGTAAGAAAAAATTATGTTTCTAGGAAGAAAAACTGATATAACCAACAAAAATAAAAAATACACAAACAATACAATTTGTTTTTAGAATATATTAGTATAGTCACCTTTTCGATTTGGTATTTACTACCAACAATTTTTTAATATATTCGTTTTAACACATTTATTACGAGCTTCCGAAGTAGACAATATTCGGTTTTTACAAAAATAAAGTTATAATCTAGTTGATTCACTAACTACTATACCAGATTAAATACTCATTG